CACCACCTAGAGACCGGGAGGGGTAACGCCTGTCGCATGGGCCTTTGGAGTCCACCAGGTGGCAGCAAAGTCCCTCCCTCAGGCTTCAGAGGCCGCCCTGCTGGGGGTCGTGGCCGCAGAGCCTTCTCCCCGGTGACATTCTCTCTTGCGGTGGGGAGTCCATCCGTGTGTCTCTCTGCTCAGTTGTCCCCATCACGGGCCCACCAAGGTGGGTACTTGCTGCCATTTTCCTCTCCTCCTGTTGGAGGTGTAAGGCTGGGGCCCCTTAGAGCCCCAGGGCATGTCCCCCAGCATCCCCTGCCCCGCCCTCATGGGTGGGGAAACCAGGGGTGAGGGGAGGAGGGGGTCAGATCAGCAACCCCGAGTTCAGGCATCTCCAGCTGGGGCTATGGAAGGGGGGGGCGGAGGGAACCAGGCCTCCGCCTCCTTCCCACTCCATCCCTGGGGTCTACAGAGCATCGGGGAGGGGCCCAGGATGGGGCGAGGGGTGTCGGGGAGCCAGCAAGGGTCTGTGGACCGCCTGCCCGCCCCAGGAGGCAAGGGAGACAGACAGTGTGGCAGGGGCTGGGGACCGGCACAGGGAGACCAGTTCATCCCTAGAACGCGTCTCTACATGCGCGGCAGAGACCGCAGCTCTGCCCTCATCCCTCACTTGCTGTCCTCAGCCTTCCCGGGGCCTCCCTAATTGCCCTGCTGCCCTCAGCTGGGCCCCACTCGCCACTGTGACCGGGCCCTAAAGCACGTGACAGATGAGTCCAAATGAGCGCCCGGGGGTGCAGGCGGGAGCCCCATCTGCCTGCCCTGCCTGGTCCTGGCCTGCAGCCCGGGTCTTGACCCCCCACCTGCCATCCCTCATGCTTCCTTCCCCAGGTCAGATGCAGAAGCCGTTTGAAGACGCCTCCTTTGCACTGCGGACAGGGGAGATGAGCGGGCCCGTGTTCACGGATTCCGGCATCCACATCATCCTGCGCACGGAGTGAGGGGCGTGGACGGCCCAGGCCCGCCGCACACACACCCCGCCCCCGCCCGGGTGGGTGCGGGGCAGGGTGGCCGGGTGCGCAGACTCCGCTCCCTGCTGCCGCTGACCAGCGGGCACCCCTCCCTGCTCGTGTCACACAGTATTTATTGATCCCAAAATGGCTGGGAGGGGGGCTCTTCACCACCGGGGGCTCCCTGCCAGACTCGCCTCCCCTTTAGGAATTGACTTCAGAAGGGCGCGGGGTGGAGAGGCTCGCCGGGCTTCCACATCCAAGGGCTGGGGGTGACCTGTCCCAAAGAGAAGGCCTGGCTAGCTGAGCCGCCCCCTGTGTCCCCCCAGGTCCGGGACGGGGGCGAGGGGTGGGGCAGGAGGGCCTTGAGTTATTTCTGGTTTTGCCACCTCCCTCTATTCGGTTGCAAAAAGCAAACGCTCCGCCTGGGGCCCGGGCTGCCTGCTGCTTGGGGGCCCTCTCTAAGCAGCAGTGCAGCACCTTCCCCAGCCTCCATTAAACCTGGAACCGGTGTTCTGCTGTCCCTGTCTCTCATTTCCTCCCTGCGGAGGTGAGTGGGGCTCGATTGGAGGAGCGATCATCTCCCACCATCCCTGGCGTCCAGGTGTCCAGGCCGCCTTTCCTCCCTGAGCAGCCTCTCCTCTTCCTGGGCTTGGGGGCATCCTAGCGGCAGCTGGACTCTCGGGGAATTGGAGCATTGCTCAGCGCCAGCGCTCCTCACACTCGGGTGTTCAAGGGCCCTGACCCCCCAGCTCTGGATTCAGCAGGTCGGGTGGAGCAGGGCATCCTCGGGGAGCCAGATTGAAGCCCCCGTGCCCTGGGTGCTCTCGCCGCCCCCCTCCCACAACTCCCTCCACGCACGTGGGCCACTTGAGTTAGAATGAACTACGCCCAGCACCCTGAGGCCTGCTTCCCTGTCGCCACAAGCGCTCTGGAAGATTGTGCTTGGGTCCTGCGGCCTCTGCAGGCGCCGTTACCATGGCAGCAGGGGGCCAGGCGGGTGGGGGTTCCTGCCGGGCGCCTCTGAGAGCAGGGATCCTGCCCCGCCCTCTGGGGGAGGGGCCTCCGTGGAGCAGAGGGAATCGCTGTGGCACATGGGGGTGGGGGTGGGGGGACTTCCTCCTCTTCAGATTGGGGGCTGGGGTGCGGCCCACCTCTTGTGCATCACCTCCTCGGAGCTGCCCCGGGGCCAGGGCCTGGGCTGGGGGCTCAGGTCAGTCAGGAGGTTTGCGGCGCTGCTGAGAGGCGGTTAGGCCTGGTCTGCCCACCTGCTTCGCGGGGACCAGACCGGGGCGGAGGCGGGGGGCAGGTGGCGGGCTAGCGGGGCTTGGGCACCTGAGGAAAATAAAGCCCTTCCTGGCCTGACACCAGGGAACACCCCGCCCCCCGCCCCCCGTCCCCGACGAAGCTGAGTCTCTGATAAAAGCCCCGAGAATCAAACAGCCACCTGGGCCGACTCCCATCTGGCCAGCTTCTGGAGCCATCGCTCTCTGCCTGCCGCCTGCCAGAGCGTTTGTCATTAGGAAGGTTTAATGAATTTCCTCTCAGCTCTGGTGGGCTGGGGAGAGCCGGATGGTTGGCTGCGCCTCCAGGCAGAATCCTCTCCCACCGCCCGTGGAGGCCACAAGGCAGGCAGCAGCCCTGCTGTCTGCGCCAACCGTTCTGTGGTGTCGGGGGAGCCACTGCACCCCTCCAGGTCCAAAGGAGCCTCTGGGAAGGATCGGAAATGAGTACTTGGGGGCGGAAGGGTTTTCAGGGTCCTGCTCCAAGGCACCGCCTGAGGGTGGGCCTGTGCCTCGCTCTCAGCACCAAAGGCCTGGGGAAGGTCTCCCTGGGCTCCCAGGCATCTGAGATGCTGCCGGGGAAGGGAGGGTGCGGGATGTGTGTGTGTGTGTGTGTGCGCGCGCGCGCGCGCCCAAGCCTGCATGTGCCCATGTGACTAGTTGGCCTTAGGTGTGTGTCTGTCCTGTGTGACCCGGGGGTCCCTCCGTCTGGGCGTGACCACCTGCCTCCATGGACCTCCCTCTTCCTTTGTCTAGCTGTGCAGCGGCCAAAACCCAACACAAAAGAACGTTGCTCTTTGGTAAACATGCCCCCAGAGCCCACTCAGCACGCGTGATTCACGAGCTGTGGCTTGTGTCACCTGCTCCACACCCCTCCTGCCCAGAAGTGAGGCCCTACATCCCAGGCCTTCAGCGTGGTGAGAGTATACTCTTTGTCACTGGTCTGGCATCTCCTGGCCCACTCGACCCAGGGGGCTGGTTTCCACTCTTTTGCCGTTTTCACCAGCTCAGGCTTCTGTGGCCGCAGAGCAGGGCTAGAGCCAGTTACTTCAACTCGGGGTAACATGGGTACTGCCACGGGATGGGCTACAAAGCTTCCCCGATGTAGACAGACACACCTCCACAAAAGGGGAAGCAGGGGAAGCAGTAGGCAGCCTAGGACACACGCAGATGACACGCAACCCTCGCCTGGGTCGAGGGGCAGGGGGTTAATTACTCCTTGCCTACCTTGGTTGGAACAAAAGCCACCAACCCCAAAGTATAAGGAGGGCTGGGCCTGCCTCTCTGTGTGTGTGTGAAAGAGAGAAGGGGCGCCTGTGGGCATCTGTCTGATGCCCAATACAAATCGGAGGGATGGGGCGCAGATGTTCTAGGTGCCCTCGCCCTGTGCCTGTTTTTTGTTTGTGTGTTTGTTTTTTAAAAGCAGATACAGAGCGAAGTGCCTCTCAAGGTGCTTATCCAGGAATCGATTCTCTTCAATGTCGAACTTGTTAATTTAAATGGAAATTAATTGCTTTTCTTGAAGATTTCTTTAAAAATTGGTTTTAAATGAGTGCATTAGGCAGTCGCATTTATTATTCATTGGTTTCATCGGCAGTACGGCCCCAGTGTCCCGAGTTCCCGGAGATGCCATCACGGAGCGGAGATGATTTAATCAGGCCATTAATTAGAGACGGGGAGACAGGGAGGGAGGGTTCCTCCCAGAGGAGCAAGCTTGGCCTCCGTGGCCTCAGCAGGGCCGGGCGGGGGGGGGGGTGTTGTCTGGGCCGGTGGGCTGTTTGCACAATGTTTCTGCTGGAGATTTCAGGGGGGGCCGTGTGTTGGGGCGTACGCGGGGGTGGGGAGTGGTCAGCACTACCTTTGTTCCCGGCCACAGCTTCAGAGGCGACTGTCTCCCCCATCTCCTTGCAGTCTGTCACCCAGGCTACCAAAGATCTGGCTAAAATAAAGCCTTCATTTTGTTTTTCCCCTTCTATGACCCCCTCCCACCCCACCTTAGTCACACTGCCGAGGTTCCTGAGGACTTGGCCTTTGCTTACTTCAGTCTTTTCCCCACGCGCTCACACACCCCTTCCCTTCCTGTCTCTGATACTTGCTAGCTTTGCCCGTCCTTCCCCTCCAGCAGCTCCAGTCCCCATGTAGGTCCCCACGTCAGGGACTATCCCTACCCAAGCCCGGGCACGGGGCATGGGTGTGTCCAGCAGAAGGGCCCCCATGCACTTTCAGACTTGCTGTCTTTTCTTAAGCAGCTAACTCAGAACAGGTGCAACTCATACAAAATGATTTTGATGTTACAAAGAAAAAAGAGAAGAAAAAGGAAAAATTCTGTGTGCTACCCTCTCATACCCATATTCTTAAAAGCAGCCAAATTGTTAAAAACCCATTTTAAAAGCTGCCAGATGGGTTATTGATGCACCTGTGTGATCAGTGAGTGAAAGAAAAAACAGTGACAAAGAATATTCATTTGAGGCCAGTCTTCATCATTGTGATAGAGTTCTTGGTTATCTGGATCATGTTGTTTGAAACAAGTTTGGATCGGGTATCTTCTCCTCTCTTCCCAAAGGGCTCTGCCAGGGCCCTCACCCACCCACCCCCCAGGCTGGGCTTACCTGCCCCTGTTCACAAAGCTTGTGGCCTGGGACAAGGGGACCCAGCTGGGGTGGGCCTCCAGGCTCACCCTCCACCTGGCCTCTTCTGCCCCTTCCAGACACACAGAGCCGCTGAAGCATGAAATGTCAAAGGTCCCGTTTATTCCAGCAACCCGGAAAGAAAAGGTGTAAATAAAATAAACATCCATGCACTCAACTCCTTGGGTCGGGAGGAGGGGACGTGAAGCCAAGGAGGAGGAGGACTGAGTGGGACGCAAAGAGGGAAGGGAGGGAGGGAGAGAGACAGGCAGAGATAGCTGGAGAGTCACATCGAATAAAAGATAGAGAGGCCTCAATAAAAAGAAAGCGAAGTATCAAAATCAGAGATCAATAAAGAAGAGACAATACTGAGAAAACGCACTGACAACAGAAGCAGAGAATGAAAGCTGGGCGCAAAGGTGGAGGGAGAAAAAACAGTACAGGAGGGGAGAGGGGGAGAGAGAGAGAGAGAGGGCAGGACAGAGACAGAAAGATAAATTTGGAAGGACACAGGCGGAGTAGAAAGGGCTCCCGTGGCCCTCGTGTGGCTGCGTGAGCGACGACGGCAGCCCCTAGGGGCCCCCAGCGGTGCTGATGACGTGGAAGAGGGTGACATTGTAGAGCACCTGGTGGCCATTGTTCCAGGTGTAGAGGGCCCGCTCGCGGGGGTTGTAATCCAGCATGGAGATGTGGGAGTACTGGTTGTGGAAGGGCACGTCTGTGTACTCGTAGCTGGACGTGTTGGTGAAGTAGGCGAAGTAGACCTTGGCCCCGGCCAGGTGGGAGTTGGTCACGTAGAGCACGCCACAGATCATGAAGGCCTCGCCGGCGCTGCGCTTGGGGTAGCCGGTGTCCCAGGACCGCACGACCTCGAGGGTGTGCGGGTCCAGCCGGCTGACCACGATGTTGCCTGCGTTCTGGTTGGTGGTGTACACGGCCCAGAGCCCACTCTCGTCCACCATGAAGTCCATGTCCGAGAAGCCACCCCAGGAGTAGGGGAAGGTGTTATTGTAGCCGGCCCCAGGGAGGCTCCTCTGCACCAGCACGGAACGCGAGCGGAAGTGGTACTTGACCACCACGTTGCTCTGGTACTTGTTGTAGAACAGGGAGCCATTGTACACCACGTGGCCCGTGCCTGCCCACGGCTGGGGCAGCAGGTGCTGGATAAAGTTCTGGCCTTTGATGAAGTCTCCCAGAGTACGGAACTCCAGGACCCGCCGGCCCTTGTAATAGCCATCCATGTACCAGACCTACGAGAGAGCCGCTGGTCACTGGTGGACCACCACCAATGACCCAAAGGTCCCAGCAGCCACTAAGGAATCATATGGTCATTAGGGGTCAACAGTCACTAAGTGGTCATTACTCAGTCATGGGATGTCCAGTGACCTTTCACGACCAGGCATCATCCCAGTGACTGGGATCATTTGGTCAGGGAGTGCTATTGGTCTCAGACACTCAGAGGACAGTGCTTGATCCCCAAGAATCGGGGAAACTGCAGTCCCTGGCGACTCACTGGGCCTAGGAGTTCACTGGTCATTGGATACGGGATGGTTAGTGGTCATTAGGCTGCCCTTGGGTGGTAAGAGGTCACGTGAATCCATCGCCCGTGGGTAATTCCTGTACGTCAGCATCCTCTCCGTCAACGTCTTTCGCTGTCACCATGGTATTAGCGTGTGTGAGTGCCCTTACTCATGCTGGTTATTGGGCTAAGCAACCTAAAAACTGTAACGCTGATGTTATCATAACCATTTTTAAGATAAGGAAAATTGAGGCTCAGAGACATTAAGGAACCTCCCCAGGTTTCCCAGCTAAGAATTGGTGGAAGCGGGTTATAACTCCAAGTCTGATTTCTTTCTTTCTTTTTTTTTTTGGTGCCTCGTGGCTTGTGGGATCTTAGTTCCCGACGAGGGACTGAACCCATGCCCCAGCAGTGGAAGCACCAATTCTAACCACTGGGCCACCAGGCAATTCCCCCCAAACCCAAGCTCGTAACCCCTTGGTTGAACCACCACGATGCCTGGGAGGCCAATGATCACGGTGGGGCAGTGGCTATTTGCTGCCTCTAATCTATGACACTCTATGGCTGCCCAGTGACCGACATCCATCACTAGGATAGTCACTAGGCAGTTAATAGATGGTTCCTGTGGATCAGAGGTGATAGGCAATTGTGACCATGGTGGCCACCGGAAGTTTAAAGGTCATTGAGGGCTTCCCTGGTGGTGCAGTGGTTGGGAGTCTGCCTGCCGATGCAGGGGACATGGATTCGTGCCCCGGTCTGGGAGGATCCCATGTGCCGTGGAGCGGCTGGGCCCGTGAGCCATGGCCGCTGAGCCTGCGCGTCCGGAGCCTGTGCTCCGCAACGGGAGAGGCCGCAACAGTGAGAGGCCCGCGTACCGCAAAAAAAAAAAAAAAAAAAAAAATATCATTGAGTGGTGCTGGTAGGTCCTAGTCCTTGGGAAGGCAGTGGTCACTGGAAGCTGGTCATTAGTACTAGTAACCATTAGTCTCTATACAGTCATTGGAGGTCAGCTGACTTACAGATTCACAGGGCTGGAAAGTTCTTGGTCACTTGGTGGTCGCTAGACAGTCAGGGGGAGGTCCAAGGGCCCTGGAGACCCTAGGACACTTTGGCTTACAAGATAATCATTGATGCGGAATCGCTTGGCGCCTAGGGGCAGCCACAGGCTATGTCTCCTCCTCAGTATAGGTCCTGAGCCCTGGTGTGGGCCCAGTCACTCACCCGGCTATCCGCACTGGGGGCCATCGTGTCAGTCATCCAGGAGCCGAAGCGGGACCCCATGGCCCGAATGGTGATGGGGTTACTGACCCCCGTCAGCTTCCCACAGCCTGGGAGGCAGGAACAGGGGGGATGAGGGTGGAGAATGGGAAGAGCGCAAGGGAGGCAGGGCAAGGATGAGGTAGTGTGATCAAACTGAAGAGCTGGGAACAGGGGTGAGGAAGGATCCAGAAATCTGGTCCCAAGGTGGAGTGAGGTTGGGGGTGAGGGACTGGAAGTGTAGGGTCAGGAGCATTTCCAGCTTCTGGGTCTATTTTTGGCCTTGGGTAGGGAGGTCAAGGGTCAAAGTTTCGAAGTTAGAGGTCAAAACCATGCCCTGGGCACACAGAGGGTTTTGGGGTTGGGTGTGGAGGCCAGGGGTCAAGGTCAAGCATCAAGGCATACCCAGCTTCTGGGCACAGGCGTGGAGCCGGGCCTCCAGTGCCATCACCCGCTGCTGCAGGTCCCCGTAGCCGTAGGCGCCCATCTCCTCCTGGATGGCTGCAAGGCTGCCGGAGAGATTCCTCACCTCCTCCCGCAGGCGCACAATGGTCCTCATGTCCGCCTTGTACTGCTCCAGGACCGAGCTCAGGGGCAACAGCTCCGTCATCCTGTCCTTCATCTCCTGCTCCCAAGGTGGAACCATTGCTGATCCCAACCCCTGACCAGTGGCCCAGACCTGAGCCCAGCCTTCAACCCACAACTTCACCCCTTATCTCTGATGCACACCTGGCCCTTGGCATTCAGCCCACACTGGACCCTAGATCTGGGCCAGCCAACACTCGGTCCTTCCCAGATGTGACCCCCACTCTGGGAACTAATGGGCACCGATCCCAATGCTTCTCTTGACCTCTGACCTGAACCCAGAAGGACCCACCTGGAAGCTCTTGGCCGAAAGGGACCCGTCGGCCGCCCGGAGCCTCGCATCCAGGCTCCGCATGAGGGTCTCCATGCTTCGCACGTACTGGAGGTCACGGTACGTCCGCAACTCAAGGACCTCCATGGACTGGGAGACGTTCTGAACCTAGGAACTTGGAGGGTTAGGAAGAGCCACACTCCTGTCCCCATCCCCGGGATGCCACAGACAAGACCTGGCGGGGCCAGAGGCCAAACACCCAACCAACCTTCTCCTCCCAACCTTACCAGCAACCTGACCTCCCAATGGCAGTCCCGATCCATCCACTGGCTACTAGTCTGGCCACCACCACCTCCCACCTCTTCCCTCTTCCCTGCTCTCCCTGCCTCCACTCTCGTCCCCAGCAGTCAAGTCTCCACAGAGCAGCCAGACAGAGGTTTTTCTTTTTTCTTGTTTTGGCTGCACTGCGAGGCGTGTGGGATCTTAGTTCCCCGACCAGGGATCAAACCCAGGCCTTCTGCAGTGGAAGCACGGAGTCTTAACCGCTGGACCACCAGGGAAGTCCCGAGAGGGAGTTTTTCAAAAGGAAGATTGGATCACCTTCCCCTGTAGACCCTGCGAGCTGGTCCTGCCCCTTTGCCTGCCTACTCGCCGTGTTCATCCACTGCAACCACCAGCCCAACTTCGCTCACATAGATTTGAAGCTTCTTCCGTCCTCAGGGCCTTTGCACTTGCTGATCCCTCTACCTGGAGCGCTGTTCCCTTTGTCTTCGTCGCTGGCTTCGCCTCATCCTTCATGTCTCAACTCCAGCATCACCTCCTCAGAGTGGCCTTCCCTGATCACCCTGCCTTAAGCAGCCACTCACCCTCTCCCCCTTACGTGGTTATTTTCTTTCCAGCTATGACTACTACCTGGAACATTCCTATTCATCTGTCTCCTTTAGGTGGGATCCTCAGAGGCAGACCCAGTGTCTGGCTTGTCCACAGCTGAATGCTCAGTAAATACTAGATGCTCAATAAATACCTTTAGGCTAAATGAGGGAACTGAACTTCCCCTTGCCCTGACCTCTCCTAATCCAGACCGAGGGCCCCCTAGCTCCCACCTCCACTTGGCTAAGTTGAGTTTCTCCCGGCCAAGGTGAACTCAGAGGCAGCACTGGATGCTTGTTGAAATATACAGACTTTCCTGAACCATCGTTCGCGTGACACTTGGAAGTTCTCAGAAAGTCAAGAGCCTGATACCCATCCTGGACGCCACAAAACATTTTTATGGTCATGGTCAACAATCAGGGGACACCACATGGCCATTCTGCACTGTTGGGGAAAGCAGTTCCGGTGTCACGGGCAGGGCAGGATCCTACAGAGTTAATGGGTGGAAGACTCCAGTGCCAACAAGGGTCTCTTCTGTCCTCAGCTTCCTCCTCTACAGGATGGCGGTGGGAAGTTGCTAGTCCCTTTCAACACCGACATCAGAGGTGACTAATGGGCAGTTCAGCTGGGTAGTGGAGAGACAGCTGTCGGCCTCTAAAGGGCACCGAAATATCCTTGGGAATGTACTGAATGGGGACCAGTTTATATCAACCACAATCAGAAGGGGAAGGCATCTTTATGTAAGTCTCTTGGGATGGAGGGTGAGACCCTTCTTAGCAGGTGAGTCTGGCTGAGTGCGTGGTGGGGCCAGAGCTCATGCACCGAAGACTCAGATGCTGCCACTGGGGTTCTCCTTCCCTGTCCCCATACAGCGCTCAGCTTCTCCTCCAAAGAAAGCACTAAACAGATATTGACCGGAATATCCACCTGGAGGGGAGCCAGGTCATCCACCAGTTCTGAATAATCTGCTTGGCTAGATCTGGCCCCGGCTGATCTGGATGGGGGCAGAGGGCAGGGTGGGAATTGGGAGATTTTTCACAAGGGAACCTGGAAGGTTCTTACCTTCTCCATCATCTGCCGCAGCTCCCGGCTCCGGCCATCGCGGGAGCAGGTGCTCTGCGCGGGGATCACGGCCGTGCAGATGCATTTTCCGTCGGGAGCCTGGGCCGAGGTGTACAGCTGCCAGCCTTCCTCTGGGCTTTGGAAGAGGGTCTGCGGGGAGGTCGGAGTCAGAGAGTGGGAACCCAATGGGGGAATCACCCCATCGCTCCTGGGAGAGAAAAGGGGCCCCGGAGAGATGACAGAGGTCTTTTGCTGGACCCTTGGAATGTGCCAGACAGTGTGCTAAGTGCCAGACGTGTGTGATCTCAATCCCTCCTCAGGGAGCCCCATTTTACAGATGATAAGACTGAGGTATGAGGGGCGAAGGAACATGGCAAGGAATTGTGGGATTTGAGCCCTTCCAAAGAGGGGAATTCATTCTCTCAAACACATTTGCACACGCATGCAACAATGCCTCCATAACCACCATTAGAACATAGACTCAGACTCCTACCAACCCTCAAACCTGAACATTCCTCTCTGCTTCTCAACCCACAGTGACAGACAGGTTCTGGATATATCTTGGGGGCCACTAAGCATAACTCTACTATTGTCATTCCCCCTTCCACCAACCCCTGTTCCTGAGAAGAGGCAGGGTGATGGCCAAAGGGTGACCGACTCCTCACAGAGACCTCCAAGCCCTTGACTAGAAGGTGTCACTTTTAGACTCCTCCTAAACTAAACTTCAAGTCAGTTGATGCTGCTCAGATAATTCAGGGATCAATTATGGCTGTGCTTCCCAAACCATGCTCCTTGGAACCCTGGCAATCTTAGCAGGCATGCTGGGAAGACGGTACTCTGAGGTCAAATATGTTTGTGCATTGCTGAGTGAAATGAGTTTCTTTCTGTTTTTTTTTTTTTTTTTTTTTCTTTTTTGGCCATGCTGCGCGGCTTGAGGGCTTAGTTCCCTCATCAGGGATCAAACCCGGGCCCTCAGCAGTGAAAGCACAGAGCTCCAACCACTGGACCACCAGGGAATTCCTGAAACGAGTTTCTTTAATGCAGGACTTATCAGAACCTTTGAAATGCTCATCTTCATCAGGGAACTGATGTTGGTTGTTCAGGTTTTTAAGGGATGCGTGTGTCCTATGGCTCATGTTCATCAGAGCCATATTTTTCCAAAATTATTAGAAAATATCTAGTGAATGCCTATTCTATGCCAGGCATGGGTCTGGGATAGGGTCTAGGAAGAGAGAGATGAAGAAGGCATATCGACTGCTGCCCATAGATGTGGAGGAGACAGACATGAATTATGGAATCCTACCATTACTTCTAGAACTATATGCTGCAGTGAATGCTACAAAGAAAGTACAGAGAGTAACAGACCCTCCCAGGCTGAGGGTCTCAGACGAGGTGCCCCAGGGAAGGGACAAGTAAGCTGAACTTGAGGGATGAGTGAGCCAGGAGAAGGGGAGAGAGGAAGGGACACTTCTGGCACACAAATTCTGACCAATACCTGGAGGGATTGGAGAAACATTGCTCAAAAAGCATTGAATCCTCACTGGATGGAACGTGCTGGGCCCCCAGATCAGGCCCCCTTGAGCTTCCCCAGAACGTACTGGAGTCAGTCACAAGTCCCAGTCTTTTCGTTTTTAATCAGGGCATGGTGGTCTCATTTGTTCAACAAATATTTGTTAAGCTCCTGCTGTGTGTCAGGCTCTGTTCTGGACATTGAAAACATAGTAAACAAACACAAAAGCTCCTCTAGGAGTTACTTTAAAGTGGAGAGCAACAGAAATAAATAAGTTAACACCAAGTATTTAAAGGGTTTTGAGTGCCATAGAGAGAAGTAAAGCAGGGAAGAAATGATGGAGGATGCTAGGGTTGGGGGGTGGTTAGGGTTGCAATTTTAGGGGCCCTGGGAAGGGCTTAATGAGAAGATGTCATTTGAGTAAAGACCTGAAGGAGGTGAGGGAGGAGCCATGAGGATATTTGGGGAAAGATGCTCCAGGCAGAGAGACCAGCAAGTGCAAAGGCCCTGAGGCCGGACCATGCCTGGTATGGTTGGGAAACATGGAGGAGGCTAGTTCAGCTAGAACAGAGTCACCGAGGGAGAGATTGTGCGCAGGGTGGGGGAGATGAGGACAGAGATGGGACAGGACAGCATGTGCAGGGCCTTGTGGACCATGGGGAGGACACATTTTTGCTCTGAGTGAGGTAGGAGCCAAGGAGGGTTCTGTGCAGAGGATGGACAGGACCTGACTCAGGTGTTCGCAAGCGTCCCCTGGCTGCTGTGGGGGGGAACAGACTGTGGGTGTGAGGTGGCAAGGGTGGGAAACCAGGGCAGAGGTGACTGCAAGAGTCCAGGCAAGCGGTGATGGGTGGAAACCGAGGAGATGGGAAGTAGAAGATGCTGGTCCCATCCAGAATGCATTCCTAAGACAGGGAAGAAAGTCTGATAAAACCCCAAGTGTTTTACAGAGAAACAAAGCTTCACCATCATGGATCATTTGCACAGCCGCTACTTATCACCCCACAGAGGCTGTTCCCATGAGCTGTAGCAGAGATAAGCCAGGCTGTGAGCAATGGGCAATGAGCAATCCCAGAGACTCCAGCTGTTAGCCCACTTTTTCTCTCCCACTCAATAAAGCCTTCTTTTTTTAGCTTATTGGAATGTGAGCAAGTGATATCACTGTTCAGATGAGCTTGACTCGTCCGCTAATTTATAAGAAAAAAAGAAAACATTCATAGATGCCATCTGAAACTATTGTCATTACTCATTCTTTGAGCCTTACGTACTCACTTCGGAGGATGAGGGAACCCCCTCTTTACAAGTCCATGTTTCCCCGGCGGAGGAATGAAGTCACTCACCTTCCCAGGCTCCGTTGCATGTAGGCATGGTCCAGGCGGAGCCCACACTCCAGCCTTACTGCAGAGCGCCCAGGATCCCTCACTGCCAGGGGCTTCCTCGGGTGGTCCGAGCCCACCCTGCCTTTGCACTGGGCAGGCAGAAGCACCTCCCACCCGGAAGTCCCCAGGGAGTTCGTGTTAAATACCAGCCCTCTCGCCTCTCCAGTGGGAGAACGCTGGGGTGCCTGCTGCCTGCAGTTTCCCAGAGGATCCCATGGGGATATGTGCTCCAGGTGCCCACAGTGGGACCATTAGATTGCCCTGCCTGGGTTTCCTTCATTTCCCATCTCCCTTTCGCCACTGGTTCCTCCTGGGATCGCCTCCCAGCTAAGTATTTGCACTCAACTCCTCTCATCCAGCTCTGCTCCTGAAGAAGCCCGACCAAAACCAAGAAGGATGGCCTAAGGCAAAAAGGGTGACCCAGAGGGGGAGGGATAAATGAGGAGGTTGGGATTAACATACACATACTACTCTATATAAAACAGATAATCGGGGCTTCCCTGGTGGCGCAGTGGTTAAGAATCTGCCTGCCGATGCAGGGGATGCAGGTTCGAGCCCCGGTCCGGGAAGATCCCACATCTTCCCGGAGCGGAGCGGCTGGGCCCGTGAGCCATGGCCGCTGAGCCTGCGCGTCCGGAGCCTGTGCTCCGCAGCGGGAGAGGCCACAACAGTGAGAGGCCCGCGAACCGCAAAAAAAAAAAAAAAAAAAAAAAAGATAATAAGGTCTGACTGTATAGCACAGGGAACTCTATTCAATATTCTGTAATAACCTGTATGGGAAAAGAATCTGAAAAAGAATAGATATATGTATACGTATCACTTTGCTGTACACCCGAAACTAACACCACATTGTAAATCAACTAAACTCCAGTAAAAGATAAAAATTAAAAAAAAGAAAAGTGATTCAGGAATGCCTTCCCCTTTGGTTCTAGGAGAATGCAGAACTAGCTTCACCTTTTTTCATGACAAATACAGTTCTTAAAAAACAAAGACCAAAAAAACAAAACCATGAACTTGAGTCCAAACATCTCCATCTGTGCTCCCCTGGCTCTGATCCCCAAGCAATTTGGATAGAACCCCCCGAAGATTCTCATTTGTGCAGAGACAAAGCAGCCCGGTTCAACATAATTAACGTCCCCTTCCTACATTCTGTAGCGCGTGCTTTGAAGCAAACAAGCCATTTTCTCTCAACACACGAAATATTGAATTGTAAAAGAGAAGCATGATTTAAGCGGCGCAGAGAGAAGGCCTCCACGGCTTTCCTAAAATAATTGTCTGCGTTGGACGCACCTCGCTGGAGTGTTCTCTGCAGCAGCGTAATTAAATGCTCGGGGTTTGGCTGCCAAATCTCAGCACGGCAAAGAGCCTGAGTTTCGCCCATCGGGTTCAAGTTCAAACGCACAGTCAATTCATGTCCTTGGGAACCCACTGGAATGTCCTGGGAGGCTCCGTGTTTGACAGTCCAAAGACCAGCTCTCCCAGACTGGGTTTAGCTTCAAACCAAAGTCACAAATTCTCAGAGGTCACACTCCTAGGGATAGAGAATGCCTATACCTAAGGGAAATGTTTATAACAGCAGGTGTGAGAGCCGCAGACTTCTCCCGGTACAGACACTTCTGATCTGGTGGCCTGTCTCACCTCACATGTATATGTGTCCATGCCACCCTCTCACTCTGTCCCAGCTTACCGTTCCCCCTCCCCGTGTCCTCAAGTCCATTCTCTAGTAGGTCTGTGTCTTTATTCCCATCTTGCCCTTAGGTTCTTCATGACCTTTTTTTCTTAGATTCCATATATATGTGTTAGCATACGGTATTTGTTTTTCTCTTTCTGACTTACTTCACTCCATATGACAGACTCTAGGTCCATCCACCTCACTGCAAATAACTCGATTTCGTTTCTTTTTATGGCTGAGTAATATTCCATTGTATATATGTGCCACATCTTCTTTATGCATTCATCTGTCAGTGGACACTTAGGTTGCTTCCATGTCCTGGCTATTGTACATAGAGCTGCAGTGAACATTTTGGTACATGACTCTTTTTGAATTATGGTTTTCTCAGGGCATATGCCCAGTAGTGGGATTGCTGGGTCGTATGGTAATTCTATTTTTAGTTTTTTAAGGAATCTCCATACTGTTCTCCACAGTGGCTGGGATTTTTCAAATGCTTTCACCTAGGCTGCTGCCCCAATTAAGCAGCCGTCTATGTAACAGGTCCAGGATTGACTGAGTACAGGACACGCAGGAAAAGTTTTTCTAGCTC